GGACAAGTGGAGACCGTCTCGCCTGTACAGCTCCCTCTTGTTCCAAAAAGAATCCCAGTGCCTAACAAACCTGAACCCTTCCCCTCTACACCATCGTCTCATCCACGCATTGAGACTCCTGATCTGTGCCTGTCTCTCCGGCCCTGCGCGTGGAACAGGTAGCACTTCTGAGAAGGCTACCTTGGAGGTCCTGGCCTTGAGTTTCCTGCCCAGCAGCCTAAATTTCTCCTCCAGGACCTCACGACTGCATTTCCCCACATCGTTGGTGCCGACATGCACCACGACCACTGGCTCCTCCCCAGCACTATCTACCAGCCTATCTAAAACACGCGTAATGTCCGCTACCTTTGCACCAGGCAGGCAAGTCACCATACGGTCAGTACGCGGGTTCGCCACCCAGCTGTCTACCTGCCTAAGGATCGAATCACCCACTACCAAGAGCCCCCCTCCCACCCTGCCCAGGGATGGTTCCTTGGTGCAAAAGGATACCCGCTCACCAGCTGGGGAAGAGGTCCCTTCTGAGGGCACATTCCCCTTATCCTCAGCACGGTGCCCTGTTTCCCCTAGACCCTCATGCTCCCTGACAGCAGCGGGGCTGCCAGATCCAGAGTGGGACGTAGCTAACAAGTCCCCGAGAGTCTTTTCTGTGCGCCTAGCTGACTGTCTCTGCTTCTCCAGGTCAGCCACCTTGGCCTCAAGGGAGCACACACGTTCCCTGAGAACCAGGAGCTCCTTGCACCGAGCACACACCCAAGACTTCTGCCCAGTGGGCAGATAGTCATACATGTGACACTCTGTGCAAAACACTGGATAGCCCCCAACCCCCTGCTGGCATTCTGGCTTCATAATTCTTTTAAAATAAGTAAATGTAAGCCCCCTTTTAAATCCCTTTGTATTTATGTGTTTTTTCTTGTCAAAGTCAAATTACTTTATGGGGAAAACAAAGAGCCTAGGGTTTTCACTTTCTGCCTCTTCTTGGGCGTCTCACAGAGCCCCTAATCCAAGAGTCCCTGGGCTAAGAGCCACGGGCAAAGAGCCCTTTAGCTCGCCCTTCGGCTCGTGCCAGAGGCTCGTGCCTCTGGCAAGGTGCTTCCTTAAATAGAGGCCTCCCCCAGCAGAGTGCTGGCAGCAGCTATTCAAATGCACCCAGGCACTCAATCACATGCAAAACAATGCCCCTTCCTTTTCCTCTCAATTGCAGTCAATCACAGTCAAACAATGCCCTTTCCTCTCTCAAGCAGCCAGGAATCTGCAAAAACTCCAAGCGCTTCCACACACTCCCAGACCAGTTCTCCCACCAAAATCCTCAGCTGGATCCTCTCCGCTGAAAGCAAATAAAAAACCACTCACCCCTCTGTCTCCTGCTCCTGCTCCTGCTCAGAGCTCAGCTGGGTCTCCTCTGCCTCTGGCAAGGTGTTTCCTTAAATAGAGGCCTCCCCCAGCAGAGGGCTGGCAGCAGCTATTCAAATGCACCCAGGCACTCAATCACATGCAAAACAATGCTCCTTCCTTTTCCTCTCAATTGCAGTCAATCACAGTCAAACAATGCCCTTTCCTCTCCCTCTCTCAAGCAGCCAGGAATCTGCAAAAACTCCAAGCGCTTCCCCACACTCCCAGACCAGTTCTCCCACCAAAATCCTCAACTGAATCCTCTCAGCTGAAAGCAAGTAAAAAACCACTCACCCCTCTGTCTCCTGCTCCTGCTCAGAGCTCAGCTGGGTCTCATACGGTACATACGGTACACTAAACAGTCCAGTGTGGAAGTCATTAGGACATGTGTAACTGTGGCCGTGTCATTTTGCATATGCTAAATTAAAAAATCCTCTTCTACCTTCCCATTTTGTTCTACTAAAGCACTGCATTCTCTCCGCTCTTATATCTTGCTGCTACTCATTACATAAGAAGACTATATGGTGGTTCTCATACACCTGGTCAACTCTTTTAGAGACTTCGGGTACGTTCAGATGGGCCGTTTAGTCCGCTTCAGTAACGGGTTTTATATCCACGTTCACACACCCAACATCTGTGCACCGTCCCCAGCCATCGCTTTCCGGCTCAGACCCCCTTTAAAACGGAGTATTTTGTTACCAGGTCTCCAAGTGGTGTTTTCCTGATTCTCCAGTTCTAGCCACATTTTTCTGATGTCTGATCGCTCATGTGGTGTCGAGCCACTTCTGCTCTTCACCAGCCATTTTATTTTAGCGTCGGTGGTATGTGCACAGGCAGAGCTCCGCTCCCGTGTTATTAAAAACAATGTTTAAACAGTGCCTAGTTTTGTTGGTTAGATGAGTTCGGGATCTCACGGAAGCCAGTTTCAGGGTAAAAGTTTGAAGGGAAGTGTTACAGCAGTTGGGTTGAAGTGGAAATTGCTGTTCTGCGCATGTGTGAAAATTTTAATTCTACAGATGGCCGCCTGTGCGCATGCCCAAACTGAGAGGGGGGGAACACACTAACACACGCTCCTGCGTGTGGACGGCGGGGAGCAATGAGGCTGCGCAGCGATTCGGAACAAGGACGTGAGTGTGATCATGATTCTCCAGGTTAAAAAAAAAATGCATCGGGACCGGAGCAATTTAAACCGCTCCCAGCACGCTGTCTGACCACACCCTAACTGTAACATAATTCCACCGTCTTCTATTTTAATAATTAGAGCTAGATCCAAACAAACAACATCGCCAACTACTAGAGCCCACAATACCAACTGGGATAGAAAGCTCAGCAACAAGTCCAAATAGTTTAACAACATTATTCAGAAAACAACCAATTCAAAACTGGTGATGAATTAATACCTTGATCTAATTCAAAGACCCATCCCATTAGTAATGCTAGTAGAATTTCAGATGTAAGCCCCACATTAGAAAGGGCTCAAATATCGCATCTAATGATCCAATCCCTACACTGAAACAGTATCAGCTACTGCTACATCAAAACACTTATTAAGATTAGCCCACAACATTCAAATTATAGTGTGCCACGGACAGAAAGGCGAGATGGACTTCAGTACAGCACGGGGCAAAGAAACCTTATGGCAAAAACATATTTTGAAACCTATCCAAAATGCTTATTGGAAAAAGTGAGAAAGGTGAAAAGTATTAGGTAACATAATGGAAATCTAGATGTCAGATGCATCATTATGGATGAGACATCTGTAAAGTGTAACAACACCTCTTACTGCTGCATTCCTAAAGTGACATAAATCTCTTCTCTAAGCATTTGAGGTATGAGGCTCCTAGAGCTGCAAAAAGGCAGAGAAAAATTGCATCCACAAAGAGAAAGAGAAAACTATAGGTTATGTAGAAACCAGGGAAGGGACAAGAGATGTGGCCAATGAAAGGGTAACAAAAATAGCCCAGCCTTTTTGTTTGCTAGGCACTTTTCATACCAAGATGTTCTTCAAGAAGACTAGAAAATTGCAGTTTTTTATGATAGTTACAATTCTGTTATAGAATTTAATTAAGAATAGTTGCTACTCCCAAAGCTTGGAATAAATATGCTGCAATAATGCCTTAAATGCTATGCATTTGGACTGCTCGCTGCAGGAAGTGTGTTTCTGTTCCCTAAAGACAGAAAGTTCTACACCTCAGCAGTGATGCCCATTCTACCTTGAACTCCCCCTGGTAACAGCAGTGACCTGTGACAGCTGCTCCCTACCCATTATGAGGAAATAGCAGCAGCACAAACACGCACTGCCATGATCCTCCATAGCAGGGATGTGGAGAATCCCTAAGCATTCCTACAATATACTTTGGTATGTCTCCATCATATCTCTGAACTGTCAGAATTCTTTACACCCTGCAACCAGTTGTAGTCCTCAAGCCAAGTTTTTAAAAATGCATGCTACCATTTCCCAAAGGCTTAGAGCAGGTAACATATGGAAAAATTAAGTAAATACATATAAGAACAGAATCAACTTTAAAAACCCACATAATTAAAATAACCCTATACAAGCCAACTAAACAGGAACTAGAAATTTAGTATTACCATATTTAACTGGTCTGTTGAATTAATGTTCCTCCTCTTTAATGGTTTGCCCTGCTTACATTTGGCTAGAGTTGGATACCAAGTAAGGCCAAATAGGATGCCTATGTCTATTTTTGTCTCTTGCATAACACAGTGAAACATTTCACCCAATAGCTGCAACAATATGGATTGTGTTCTCCTACATAAGTGAACTTTAACAGTTTCAGCAATCGATGCCTACTCTTTTAACTTCACATATCATAATCATGTTTGTCACTATCACACATATATGAAGACTTAGTTACTATAACTTGGAAGCCATGAGTATGAATTATATTTAGCCAGCCTTTTCACCCACATTAACTGAATTTCCTCTTATTAAAGTCCCCATCCCACAAGGCTTTTGTGCATGCCAGACCAATTAGCCCTAGCATAGCCTTTTTGGACGGAACCCCCCTCTTCCCTTTTTCACCAGCAGAAAAGCTGGTTGGATCCAACTCTATATGTCCTTGTTTGTGCTACCAGCAAGTTGCAACAGTAATGTAACTGCATTAAGTTACACTTAACAAAACTAGACACTGGGTCAGAAACCTGTGATCCTGTGTTCACCTCTAACGTTCAAAGCTAAAGCAGAGACGGGGGACACGGTTTGCAAGGGAGAAGTGTGGGGGGTGCTTAACCCTACCCTGTCTACCACTTTTTCTTTGCAATTTCTCTGGTGACAGAAGTGACTTGAGAGAGCTGCTCCCCACCCATTATGGTACTTCTGCATCATCACCCTTCCCACCCAATAGGTTGTTTCCTACTCAAGTGAAGAAAAAAAGGGACTGCTCAGTCATCCACCATTTCCCCAGTGTAACCCATCCCATGTTGCATAATGGTGACAAAGAGTTTAATATTTTAATTAAAGTGCCTGAAATTCACTTTACTACATTTTCAAGAATGAAATTAAGAATGGAATTTCACTCCACACTGCATTTATACGGAAAGACAAGGCAAAACATACAAACATACTGGGAATGCGGCGTGAGAAATCTTACCGTGAAGCTGTTGTTGACATTTTTAGTGCTGGATTCTGCCACGCTGGCATCTGTCAGATCCACCTCATCAAAAATTATTGACTGGGGAAAAAAGGAAAACTTCAATTAAAATAAAAATAGGCCATGCCTATAAGATTTTGGATCAAAAACACTACTATTGGTGATTCGTGCTGACTAGCACTAAAACTAATGGTATGAGACAGATATACCACATGCAAGAGTCTTGGCAAATCACAATCCCCAGGCGCATGTCTATGGAGACATGAATTCCTTCCAAAGTTGCAGAAAAGACAAGATAAAACCCTGTACTTTGTGTGTGCTGGAAGCAGGGTGAGGAGCAATGCTCACGGAGGCCTGTTGCCCGTTTAGCCATTGCGGCGGCTGTATCAGGGCATGCTCTGCACAGCAGCATTTGACAGAACAAGGGGAGAGTTGCAAGAATTCCATGGGAGCTCATCCATGCTGTATTCCCTAGGAACACAGGTTGCAGAAGCATGTGACTCCTGGTAGGACTTCTGCTGAGACAAATATTAGTACCTGGGATTGGGATCAGCTGCCTGCCACAAGAAAGCAAGACACCTGGTGGTGGCACCTCTCTTTCCTTCCCTGATGCTCCTCCAGTCACTAACAAGCCTGCCTGCTTACTCACTCATGGAACCGCTAACTCCACCTGCTTGACTCACCTGGCAGTGCCTCTGTCACCCTCACTGCCACCTCTCCCATTTCCTCTTCTGCATACTGTCACAGTGGCTCCTCCTCCTGATGCACCCAGAAGCAGCACCTTCCCGCCACTCCTTCTGGCTTTGACTGTGTATGTGGTTGCTAACCAACCCTCAAAATGGCTGCTGAGATCTTACAACATAGCACTGTGAAACATTTTTTTCTTCTGTAAGTTACCTTTTAAAAATCTTAACAATGCCTGTCAACTTTATTTTTATTTTTGGATTTTTGTGCATACCTGGGAGCTTTGTCAAATTTGTACACGTACACACACCTCAGTATTTGTTCTCAGTGTGTGCGTTTTTTGATCTATACTTCATGGGCCCTGTTCAGAATAAGATATAACAACCAGAGGATCTGCAAGGACTTGCAGGAAGCATCTAATTTTCTCTGCTCCCACTATTTACTGTTTCCTGAAAGCCCCCTTATCCTTTCCCTGCTTCCTTCTCTCATTTCCACCCATCAGGCAACCTACCTTTATCTACCCTGCCTGTCTTCAGCTTTCCCTCCTTCCCTCCCCTTGGCAGCCTCTTCCAGGGAAAACTATGGCCCAGCTGTGCTGTGCTGGCTGATTGGCCGGGAGCAGTTTCATGGTGGAGAACCTGCAAGGACTTTCAGGGGCACCCATTTCCCCTGTGTCCCCTTTCCCACACTATTTCTTCTTTCCCTCCTCCTGGCAACCCCCATATCGTCACCTTTTCCTGCTTCATTCTCTCCTTTCCATCCATCCACCCATCAACCTTGTTTTATCTGCTCCCCCCCATCTTCAGCTAGTTTTATTACTTCATCTGTACCGTGCCCTGATGAGTACTCCCTCAAAGGCCAAAACAACCCTGGAAAGGGCCCTGCCGGCAACACTGTTGTGGTTGCCAGAAACTGCCATTGAGTCATTTGAGTCATTTGTTTCTCAAAACGAGAGGCACTCATTTTATCATTTGAAGGGGTTAACCTCCCCCAATGTATATTGGTTTTAGATTTCAGATTTTTCTGAATACCCCAGGGCTCTCCTCAGGCCTGAAGAAAGCTCAGTCTTGTCTGTCTGAGGCCCCAGTCTCTGAATTTAAGTATCCAGAGGAGGAACCATGTTGAGGATTAGATATATTCACAAGCGGGAGCCCACAAGAATTGGAGGTGGAAATTCCCCTAACCCACCAGATACCAGCTTTGCCACAGTGTCTCCCCTCATCCTGCCCGACCCCAGCCTCACCACCTCAATGGCTTTGGCAATGCCCCTCCCCCAGCACATGTGCAGACAACACTCCTTTGTTTTAGGGGATTTACTTCCTCCATTTTCTCCCGCGGCTTTCAGATTTTTCAGCAAACCTGGAAGGGTTCCCCAAGTCTGTAGAAAAACCTTCCGTCTGTGTAAATGGGCCTGGGCCATAGATTTAAGTGGCCGCAGATGGGACTATGCTTCAATAGTAGATATAAGGTTCTATTTATTTGTTTATTTATTTGTTCAATTTATACCAGCCGGCCTTGGCTGGGAGGGCGGGGTAAAAACCCAATAAATAAATAAACCCCACCCTATCCCACACGTAGGCTCAGGGCTGCTTACAACATGCATTAAAACAGTAAAACAGTAAAAACAATCAAACAATCAATGGCACAATAAACAATAAACAATATCATCAAACTCCATGCCTCATATCAGGTGAATGTAGGTGCTTCAGTGCCCAATAATATTATCTGTCAGCAGGCACTGGGAGGCCAGAATGGTTATGATTACAACGGTCATGAAGTAAAACAGCAATTATGAGCTCCTATCACAAACCACAGTTTTGTGAGACTGAGCCTTTCAAGTAAGTTACCAACCTGTTGAATTGCAGTCATATAATCCACCTGATACACATTCCACAGTTTTCCCCCCCCCCCCCCCAATACACAGGCTTGGGGCCAGCAACATACCTTTGCTGTTTTTGCATAGTACAGAGTTCGTCCTCGTAACTTGAAGTATCGTCTCTTCCAGCGCTGAAACGAGCTGGTCTGTTTCATCAGCATGCCCTCTTTTATGACTGTCTAGAAGTCAAGAAGATGCAACTTAATTCTTTTTGTAAAGTCCATTTACCAGTGTCCCCCAACACTGAAGGATTCTAATGGGGAAGGGCATTCTGGCCTCAGTTTGAGATCACTTCTTTGCATGTTCTCACAAGGGAGGCAAGAAGAAAAACTGAGGAGGGTGGACACTCCCTCCCATTTAGAGACAGAAAGGTCAGCCTACTTTCTACCTACAGGGATAATGGGTAGGATAGTACCCAAATGTTCCAGAACATCCTCCTATCCTCAAGCCAAAATCAACAGTGATGAAGATTTTTCTTCCCATTCACCCCTTCCTGACTGAAAGAACTCTGCTCTAATTCCTAGTTGCCCAGAAACTACAGAGGTGAAGGAAAGGGCACTTTGGCCAATGGCCAGAGGACTACGAGCCATAGGACAGCTGCATACCTTCATCTGAGCAAGAACAACCACTACAAGAAGATCAGTTGGATACACATTCTAATGGTCTAACACACTCAAACTGATCTCTTT